CGGTATGTGAGTGTGAGGTATAATGAGCACTACGGAATGTATGAGTGTGAGTTATAGAAAATATTACATCATGTGAAGGTGTAAGTTATGGAATAAGTAAATAAGTAAGTTTATTCAGGTATACACAAATACAGTTATATAGATTTACAATATATAGCAGCATATGTGTAGAGAACCTAAGATAACCAAAAAAAGTGAGACGAAGGATCCAGCCTCAGCTGCACCTTGTGCTGAATGACCCGCGCGGGTATTGCGCTTCCTATAAAAGTATTTTATGAAATTTGTAATAACAGTATTATTACTTTTGTTTTTATTTTGCAAAGGTTCGGAATAGTTGTGGACATCATCCTTCTCGTCGTCAGAACGCTGCGTAGCGACCGGCTCTTCACTAACTCAGAAGAAATTACTTAGCAAAGACAACTAAACTTCTGATCCTGAAATTTGATAATCGCCGTTTTACCGGTAACAACACTGGCGAGGGTCTGCAACACTGGCGAGGGTCTGCAACACTGGCGAGGGTCTACAACACTGGCGAGGGTCTGCAGCATTTTGGGGAGGGTCTGCAAACACTGGCGAGGGTCTGCAACACTGGCGAGGGTCTACAACACTGGCGAGGGTCTACAACACTGGCGAGGGTCTGCAACACTGGCGAGGGCCTGCAACACTGGCGAGGGTCTGCAACACTGGCGAGGGTCTGCAACACTGGCGAGGGTCTACAACACTGGCGAGGGTCTGCAACACTGGCGAGGGTCTGCAACACTGGCGAGGGTCTGCAACACTGGCGAGGGTCTGCAACACTGGCGAGGGTCTGCAACACTGGCGAGGGCCTGCAACACTGGCGAGGGCCTGCAACACTGGCGAGGGTCTGCAACACTGGCGAGGGTCTGCAACACTGGCGAGGGTCTACAACACTGGCGAGAGTCTGCAACACTGGCGAGGGCCTGCAACACTGGCGAGGGTCTGCAACACTGGCGAGGGTCTACAACACTGGCGAGGGTCTGCAACACTGGCGAGGGTCTACAACACTGGCGAGGGTCTACAACACTGGCGAGGGTCTACAACACTGGCGAGGGCCTGCAACACTGGCGAGGGTCTACAACACTGGCGAGGGTCTGCAACACTGGCGAGGGTCTGCAAAACTGGCGAGGGTTTGCAACACTGGCGAGGGTCTGCAACACTGGCGAGGGTGTGCAACACTGGCGAGGGTCTACAACACTGGCGAGGGTGTGCAACACTGGCGAGGGTCTGCAACACTGGCGAGGGTCTGCAACACTGGCGAGGGTCTACAACACTGGCGAGGGTCTGCAACACTGGCGAGGGTCTGCAACACTGGCGAGGGTCTACAACACTGGCGAGGGTCTGCAACACTGGCGAGGGTCTGCAACACTGGCGAGGTCTACAACACTGGCAAGGTCTGCAACACTGCGAGGGTCTGCAACACTGGCGAGGGTCCACAACACTGGCGAGGGTCTGCAGCACTGGCGAGGGTCTGCAACACTGGCGAGGATTTGCAACACTGGCGAGAGTCTGCAACTCTGGCGAGGGTCTGCAGCACTGGTAAGGGTCTGCAACACTGGCGAGGGTCTGCAGCACTGGCGAGGGTCTACAACACTGGCGAGGGTCTGCAACACTGGCGAGGGTCTGCAGCACTGGCGAGGGTCTGCAACACTGGCGAGGGTCTGCAACACTGGCGAGGATTTGCAACACTGGCGAGAGTCTGCAACACTGGCGAAGGTCTGCAGCACTGGCGAGGGTCTGCAACACTGGCGAGGGTCTGCAGCACTGGCGAGTGTCTGCAACACTGGCGAGGGTCTGCAACACTGGCGAGGGCCTGCAACACTGGCGAGGGTCTGCAACACTGGCGAGTGCCTGCAACACTGGCGAGGGACTGCAACACTGGCGAGAGTCTGCAACACTATCCAGGGTCTGCAACACTATCGAGGGTCTGCAACACTGGCGAGGGACTGCAACACTGGCGAGAGTCTGCAACACTGGCGAGTGTCTGCAACACTGGCGAGGGACTGCAACACTGGCGAGGGACTGCAACACTATCGAGGGTCTGCAACACTATCGAGGGTCTGCAGCACTTGCTAGGGTCTGCAGCAGTGACGAGGGTCTGCAACACTAGCAAGGGTGTGCAGCACTGGCGAGGGTCTGCAGCACTGGCGAAGGTCTGCAGCACTGGCGAGGGTCTGCAGCACTGGCGAGGGTCTGCAGCACTGGCAAGGGTCTGCAGCAGTGACGAGGGTCTGCAAGAGATTGTGTCTTGCATGCAAGCAAGCAGTCGTGAGGACGCACCCACATACAATAAACCTTAGCAAATCGCTTCCTGAAAAACTTCCTCCTGTCGAGAAGACATCAGACTCACGAAATCGTAATAACACGATTGTAAACAAACCACGGAACGGGTGGTGTTTGAACCCATGCAAGTTAGTTGTAATTGGCCTGGCGTTTGGCGTTTTATGACTCACTCGTCGTTTACCTGGAGAGAGTTCCGGGGGTCAACGCCCCCGCGGCCCGGTCTGTGACCAGGCCTCCTGGTGGATCAGAGCCTGATCAACCAGGCTGTTACTGCTGGCTGCACGCAATCCAACGTACGAGCCACAGCCCGGCTGGTCAGGTACCGACTTTAGGTGCTTGTCAAGTGCCAGCTTGAAGACAGCCAGGGGTCTATTGGTAATCCCCCTTATGTATGCTGGGATGCAGTTGAACAGTCTCGAGCCCCTGACACATATTGTATTGTCTCTTAACGTGCTAGTGACACCCCTGCTTTTCATTGGGGGGATGTTGCATCTTCTGCCGAGTCTTTTGCTTTCGTTGTGAGTGATTTTCGTGTGCAAGTTCGGTACTAGTCCCTCTAGGATTTTCCAGGTGTATATAATAATGTATCTCTCCCGCCTGCGTTCCAGGGAGTACAGGTTCAGGAACTTCAAGTGCTCCCAGTAATTGAGGTGTTTTATCTCCGTTATGCGCGCCGTGAAGGTTCTCTGTACATTTTCTAGGTCAGCAATTTCACCTGCCGTGAAAGGTGCTGTTAGTGTGCAGCAATATTCCAGCCTAGATAGAACAAGGGACCTGAAGAGTGTCATCATGGGCTTGGCATCCCTAGTTTTGAAGGTTTTCATTATCCATCCTGTCATTTTTTCCAGCAGATGCGATTGATACAATGTTATGGCCCTTGAAGGTGAGATCCTCCGACATGATCACTCCCAGGTCTTTGACATTGGTTTTTCGCTCTATTTTGTGGAAGGAATTTGTTTTGTACTCTGATGATGTTTTAATTTCCTCATGTTTACCATATCGGAGTAATTGAAATTTCTCATCGTTGAACTTCATATTGTTTTCTGCAGCCCACTGAAAGATTTGGTTGATGTCCGCCTGGAGCCTTGCAGTGTCTGCAATGGAAGACACTGTCATGCAGATTCGGGTGTCATCTGCAAAGGAAGACACGGTGCTATGGCTGACATCCTTGTCTGTGTCAGATATGAGGATGAGAAACAAGATGGGAGCGAGTACTGTACCTTGTGGAACAGAGCTTTTCACCGTAGCCGCCTCGGACTTTACTCTGTCGACTACTACTCTTTGTGTTCTGTTTGTGAGGAAATTATAGATCCATCTACCAACTTTTCTTGTTATTCCTTTAGCACGCATTTTGTGCGCTATTACGCCATGGTCACACTTGTCGAAGGCTTGTATATATTACATATGCATTCTTTTTTTCTTCTAGTGCATCTAGGACCTTGTCGTAGTGATCTAGCAGCCGAGACAGACAGGAGCGACCTGCTCTAAACCCATGTTGCCCTGGGTTGTGTAATTGATGGGTATCTAGATGGGTGGTGATCTTGCTTCTTAGGACCCTTTCAAAGATTTTTATGATATGAGATGTTAGTGCTATCGGTCTGTAGTTCTTTGCTATTGCTTTACTGCCCCCTTTGTGGAGTGGGGCTATGTCTGTTGTTTTTAGTAACTGTGGGACGACCCCCGTGTCCATGCTCATTCTCCATAGGATGGTAAAAGCTTGTGATAGGGGCTTCTTGCAGTTCTTGAACACGGAGTTCCATGACTCTGGCCCTGGGGCAGAGTGCATGGGCATGTCATTTATCGCCTGTTCGAAGTCATTTGGCGTCAGGATAATATCAGATAGGCTTGTGTTAACCAAATTCTGTTGGTTTAAATCCCCACCGTTCCATTTTTTTAGGACATCTGACGATTGTACTCTTTGTAGGTACTCGGCAGGCCGTCGATAATGATACCAAAAGCAACAAGTCCGTAAAGTCTAAACCATGAGTACCCAAACGTGAATGAATGCACTGGACCTCGGACTGAGTTTTGGTTAAAACTCAGTGTTAAACGTGTTGGTTGCATGACGGGTCATCGAAAGACTGAAACCCGTGTCAGGACTCAATCCTGGAGAATAATATAAGTAAACCTTGACATTCCAAATGGAGGCTCGTGCTATCCAAAATACCGGGCATGCTATAAGTGCCGGGATGATCCCCCACACAGCTGTGTAACCTGGGATCAAGATTCCAATAGAAAATGGAGAGTAAACAAGACGCAGCACACTGCGCCACGGCAGAAGGAAACATGCTCAGAGCACTACGCAATGCGCTGTAGAAAATAAGGTGTTCTCGACCAGTCATCACAGCTCAGCAGTGAAGATAATTGTATACAATACCGGCAAGTAGATAAGTAAGACACATGTGCAACAGTTAAGTATCTTTATTTCGAAACGTTTCACCTACACAGTAGGTTTCTTCAGTCGAAAACAGAGGAGACAGACGAAACAGTAGAGATGTAAAAATGATGTTATCAGAAAACACTGAGTTTACTTCTAGGTAGTGAGGTGGGTATTCACTGAATATATTGAGTTTAATTCTAGGTAGTGTAGTGAGTTCTGAATATTAACCTCAAGTTCACTACCAGGTATTGTGGTAGATTCTAACAGAAAATAAAGGTCACTGTAAGAAAATGAGGGAAGGGACGTGGTGCGTACTTACAGTAAACGTCAAGGATCCAGTGGTCCAGGAGAGGCTGGGTGCTGAGAGTGGGGGAGTGAGCCAAGCACGACAACGATCTGCCAGCATCGTCAACCTCAGGTGTCAGCCTCAGCTTGCTGGTCGTCACGTTACCATCTTGACTCAGCTGACACACACGTAAGCACAAGAAAAAATTACTCAGTGCATGAATATGTAGTTGTTTAAGAAACAGTTTAATCAACGAGAAGGTAAACATAGTCATGGTGACGACGTCTATAACATGAAAAAAAAATGTTTGAAATTAAAATTTTGAGTAAATGAGACATCCAAGAACATTTATAATACAAAGTTATTTACAAAGTTGCGTTGTTATTAAAAACATTGCAGTTCACAGGAAGTCTCACAAGTGCCGATACTCGGCTTAAGATGGTAAGTAAGGAAGACTTGTGAAGGTAAACACCATGTATAATATATAACTGGCTAACACTTCGCAAGCCGTCTCGCTCTTGCGCTTGATCTCTTAAAGCTGAAAATGGGGGTTTCTCTCTCGCTTTCTTTTTCTGAATCTTTTAATATAAAAAAAGCCTTGGCATTGTAAAACTATCAATAAGAATGATGCTAGGAGAACACTGAATAATATTCTCTTGGTAATATATTTAACATATTTCTAGTGTTACAACTATTACTTTCATTAAATTGCAGATTCTACATACACTTCTTTCTTATAACATAACAATTGTCTTCCGAGAGCGCTAAACATTGACGGAATTGTTTACCTACATAAGTATACACAAAATGTCATAGGAAACTATTGTCTTAAAGACCAAAGTTCATGAGTACTGGTGTAATTTGAACTTACGTGGCAACCTCTGGTAACTTGGGTTGCTATTAAAATTCGTTTATATTGAATTAGTACTGTTCTTTGGTTACTTTCATGATCCATATCCTAACACAAAATTTTCTTATGAAATGGAAAAAAGAATGGCAAATTTTCCTCTTTCGAATAATTTGACTGAGAGAAGCGAGAATTCATTCTCAAAATCTATGTACAGAAAGCTACCCTGGTAACTAAAGCTGAAAGCACACGTTCAGATTTCACGAACTTCCTTCACAAAGTAAAATTTATTAGACGGTATTAGAAAAGACTGCTGCACCACGTAATTTCGACTCTGCAAACCAAACAGTAAACTTTTATCATCCTCTAGAGATATAATTGAGACAATGGAAATATACATAGTTTGTACTATTTATTCGAAGTAACAGTTACGTAATCCACGAATTGTTTATTAGCATAGATATGTACTTCATATTTTTTTAAATTTAAAGATTTGATCCCATACTGCCTATAGTCAGTCGCCTTGCAATGAAATTCTGCATAAAATCAACTTAAATTTAACAATTTAGTTTCATTTATTATATTACCATCGTAAAGGAAGTGCGGTGGAGGGGGAGGACTTTTGTGCCAATAAAGTTACTGTGTATATGAAACTTAGTAAAGGGGATAAACAGAGTGTAAGAATGATGGGGAATAAGCCTGTTTAGTATGCCAAGTAAAGTATATGGTAGAATTATTATTGGAAGAACTAAGGGTAAGACAGATAACAGGATCGTAAATGAACAAGGAGGTTTTAGAAAGAGTAGTTGATGTGTAGGTAGTGTTTACATTGAAGCATATAAGTTAACAATATTTAGTTAAAGGCAAGGAAGTTTTCGTTGCATTTATGGATTTAGAAAAGCCATTTGATAGGGTAGATAGGGAGTTAAGAATTTTTTTTAAGGATATTGAAGCTCAGTGTATGTGTTGTCACACCATTCCAGGAGATCAGCAGTTTCTGAGATACTCAAACCATCCCGAGTGACAATCATTCCACTGTCAAAGCCACTTACATCACATTTCATTCCCATTCTGATGTTTGGTCTGAACAACTGAGCCTCTTGACTATATCTGCATACTTCTAGGCAGTAAGGCTCTGCTAGTTGATTGGCTGATTAAATACTTACTTTAACGATCAGGTGGACAGGTGTACCTAATAAAGTGGCCACTATAAATCTTTGTCCTGGCTTTGATTTGGTAGATGCCTGTTATTGTTGTGTAGTTTCCAACACTCGTGACTCGACCTGACCTTTGTTTCATCCTCTTATTTTCTCTTGACCTGTCTTATGAATTTTATTTTAATTTCCTGTCTTCTGGTTTTCATCTTTTTTTAACCTTTACTCTCCTAGCAAGAGCCAGTTGGCAGTTCCTCTCTGCTTCCTTGGAGACTGGTGTTGGAACCTTCATACATCACTCGCAACTCTCTCACTAATAGTGCCCGATGTTGGCCAGTAAAACTCCTGCATTGCTCCTCTGTTCTCTTGCTCTTTTCTGCTGATATTACCACTGCTACTACTACCAGCACCGCTACTGCCTTTACCTTACCTTTGATATACATTTAATGAGTTTGGAGAGTCTACTAGAGCCCGGTCATGGGCCAGGCTCGTCTGGTGCTAGCCTGGCCAACCAGGCTGAGATTGGTGAGTCTGGGAATATTTTGTTGTACACTGAGTATGAAAGGATGACAAGTAGCGTGAGGAAAATACCCTATCACACTGGGTGGTGAGGCTGGGAGTATTGTGGCTTTCTTATGAGTGTGTTAGTGATGAGAGTAAACGTGAGGAACATACCTTATCACTGTGGGTGGTGAGTCTAGTGTTGCCCAGAGTCCAGGTGATTACTGCAGGAGGCCTGGAACCAGCAGCCTGACACACAATGTCATACTGACTCCCCGCACTCACTGGATCCCGACTTGTCAACAGACGAACCCACAGTGGTGGAACTGTTGGCATTAAGAAGACACAGTGAAAAGATGTAACTCTCTTTGATATCTATTTGTGGGTCTAGGCCCCTCATTAGAGGTACAGTGATGCTGGAGAAGAGGTAGGGCTGACATCTACACTCGCAAAATTTGCGGTTGATGCCGAACTGTGGAAAAGAACAGCATCCAAAGCAGATTGTTTGAGTAGAGAGAGTGAGCTGGACAAGCTGATGCTGTGGTCGGAAACGTGGAAGATGAGGTTCAAAATGACAAGTACAAAGTATTGAATTTTGGTTATAACTATCTCGAACAGAATGTTTGTCAAAAAACTAACGGAAACAAGAGAGGAAAACGAACTTAAAGCAATCATAAACAGCGACCTCTACAGTACCAGACAGTGCCACTCTGAAAGCACCAACGTTAACAGAATGCTAGATTTCATAGTTAGGAACTTGAAACACAAAACACCAGACATCACATTGATTCTCTCTCTACAATGAACTTTTTAAACTGCTTCTAGATTATGCTGTCTATTTTGTTCAGTTTACATAACAGGGGAAGATACACTGGTGAGAGTGGAGAGAAGAGCTGCCAAGCTAGTAACATCATTCAGAAACAGTCCTTATAGAGATAGACTCAAAACTCTTCTTTCCTTTATTAGAAAACAAAGAATACAAAGAAATCTCATAAATTGATTTAAGATATTAGGTTGGTTGAACACACTCGGGTACGAAGATTTCTCCATAAATCGAAACAATGGAATGAAACTGTCAGGCAGAAGATCCAACACGATCTTACACAAAGTTTTTAACAAACAGAATTATAGCAGAATGGATATCAGTGAGTATCTGTGACTGACGTACTAGTTTACCTGGAGAGAGTTCCGGGGGTCAACGCCCCCGCGGCCCGGTCTGTGACCAGGCCTCATGTTAGTGTAAAGTATCTGTGACTGACGCACTAGTGTAGAATATCTGTGACTGACGCACTAGTGTAGATTATCTGTGACTGACGCACTAGTGTAGAGTATCTGTGACTGACGCACTAGTGTAGAGTATCTGTGACTGACGCACTAGTGTAGATTATCTGTGACTGACGCACTAGTGTAGATTATCTGTGACTGACGCACTAGTGTAGAGTATCTGTGACTGACGCACTAGTGTAGAGTATCTGTGACTGACGCACTAGTGTAGAGTATCTGTGACTGACGCACTAGTGTAGAGTATCTGTGACTGACGCACTAGTGTAGAGTATCTGTGACTGACGCACTAGTGTAGAGTATCTGTGACTGACGCACTAGTGTAGATTATCTGTGACTGACGCACTAGTGTAGATTATCTGTGACTGGCACACTAGTGTAGATTATCTGTGACTGACGCACTAGTGTAGAGTATCTGTGACTGACACACTAGTGGAGAGTATCTGTGACTGACACACTAGTGTAGAGTATCTGTGACTGACGCACTAGTGTAGAGTATCTGTGACTGGCACACTAGTGTAGATTATCTGTGACTGACGCACTAGTGTAGAGTATCTGTGACTGACACACTAGTGTAGAGTATCTGTGACTGACACACTAGTGTAGAGTATCTCTGGTTACAGCACCATGTGTCACTGTGATTACGGTACCATGTATCACTGTGGTCACAGTACCATGTGTCACTGTGGTTACAGCACTGTGTGTCACTGTGGTTACAGTACCACGTATCACTGTGGTTACAGCACCATGCGTCACTGTGGTTGCAGTACCATATGTCACTGTGGTTACAGTACCACGTATCACTGTGGTTACAGCACCATGCGTCACTGTGGTTGCAGTACCATGTCACTGTGGTTACAGCACCATGTGTCACTGGTTACAGTACCATATGTCACTGTGGTTACAGAATCCATGTGCCACTGTGGTTACAGCACTGTGTCACTGTGGTTACAGCACCTTGTGTCACTGTGGTTACAGCACCTTGTGTCACTGTGGTTACAGCACCTTGTGTCACTGTGGTTACAGCACCATGTGTCACTGTGGTTACAGTACCATGTGTCACTGTGGTTACAGTACCATGTGTCACTGGTTACAGCACAATGCGTCACTGTGGTTACAGCACCATGTGTCACTGGTTACAGCACCATGTGTCACTGGTTACAGTACCATATGTCACTGTGGTTACAGTACCATGTGCCACTGTGGTTACAGTACCATGTGCCACTGTGGCTACAGCACTGTGTCACTGTGGTTACAGCACCTTGTGTCACTGTGGTTACAGCACCTTGTGTCACTGTGGTTACAGTACCATGTGCCACTGTGGTTACAGTACCATGTGCCACTGTGGTTACAGCACTGTGTCACTGTGGTTACAGCACCTTGTGTCACTGTGGTTACAGCACCTTGTGTCACTGTGGTTACAGTACCATGTGTCACTGGTTACAGCACAATGTGCCACTGTGGTTACAGCACCATGTGTCACTGGTTACAGCACAATATGTCACTGTGTTTACAGCACCATGTGTCACTGTGGTTTCAGCACCATGTGTCACTGTGGTTAGAGCACCATGTGTCACTGTGGTTACAGCACTGTCACTGTGGTTACAGCACCATGTGTCACTGGTTACAGCACAATGTGTCACTGTGGTTACAGCACCATGTGGCAGTGTGGTTACAGCACAATGTGCCACTGTGGTTACAGCACCATGTGTCACTGTGGTTACAGCACCATGTGTCACTGTGGTTACAGCACCATGTGTCACTGTGGTTACAGCACCATGTGTCACTAGTTACAGCGCAATGTGTCACTGTGGTTACAGCACCATGTGTCACTAGTTACAGCACAATGTGTCACTGTGTGTATACAGCACCATGTGTCACTAGTTACAGCACAATCGTGTCACTGTGGTTACAGCACCATAGTTCACTGTGGTTACAGCACCATGCGTCCACTTAGTTACAGCACAATGTGTCACTGTGGTTACAGCACCATGTGTCACTGTGGTTACAGCACCATGTGTCACTAGTTACAGCACAATGTGTCACTGTGGTTACAGCACCATGTGTCACTAGTTACAGCACAATGTGTCACTGTGGTTACAGCACCATGTGTCACTAGTTTACAGCACAATGTGTCACTGTGGTTACAGCACCATGTGTCACTAGTTACAGCACAATGTGTCACTGTGGTTACAGCACCATGTGTCACTGTGGTTACAGCACCATGTGTCACTGTGGTTACAGCACAATGTGTCACTGTGGTTACAGCACCATGTGTCACTGTGGTTACAGCACCATGTGTCACTAGTTACAGCACAATGTGTCACTGTGGTTACAGCACCATGTGTCACTAGTTACAGCACAATGTGTCACTGTGGTTACAGCACAATGTGTCACTGTGGTTACAGCACCATGTGTCACTGTGGTTACAGCACCATGTGTCACTAGTTACAGCACAATGTGTCACTGTGGTTACAGTACCATGCGTCACTGGTTACAGTACCATATGTCACTGTGGTTACAGTACCATGTGTCACTGTGGTTACAGCACTGTCACTGTGGTTACAGCACCATGTGTCACTGTGGTTACAGCACTGTCACTGTGTTTACAGCACCATATGTCACTGTGGTTACAGCACCATGTGTCACTGTGGTTACAGCACCATGTGTCACTGTGGTTACAGCACCATGCGTCACTGGTTACAGCACCATGTGTCACTGGTTACAGTACCATATGTCACTGTGGTTACAGCACCATGTGTCACTGTGGTTACAGCACCATGTGTCACTGTGGTTACAGCACCATGCGTCACTGGTTACAGCACCATGCGTCACTGGTTACAGCACCATGTGTCACTGGTTACAGTACCATATGTCACTGTGGTTACAGTACCATATGTCACTGTTGTTACAGTGCCATGTGTCACTACATTCACGGGACCATTTGTCACACTGATCCCGGCATCATGTCACTATGTGTCTTTACGTTTACGGCACCGTGTGACATCGTGACGCCTCGTGACCGACCAATAATTGCGATACATTCTTGACACAGAATTCTGTGATAATAACACAGTAAAATAAGTTATAAGATCCTCACTTCAATATATTTTCTAAAAAAAAACAAAAAAGAAAATGAATTTAGGATTAGAAAGATTCACAGAATTTAATTCATCCTGGGAATTCATTCTTTGTTGCTAAATTATGAGGAATTTTTAATGTGTAGAATAAAGTATGGAATTAGGAGATAAATATACCTGGGATATACGACATTTAGATTCAGTTATAAATATTAAATATATGATGATGGAAAAAATTCCTGAAGTAATGCATCAATTTTATTTTTTCAGAAGTATATTGGTATGGATTAATTCTTAGATGTGAGACTTACAGTTCATGTCGAGGGTGACTGTAGTAGTGAGTGGAGCAGTGAGGTTAGAGTTTGAAGCTTGACAGGTGAGGGTTCGATGCAGGTCACGCCGGGTCATCTTGGGCAACACCAGAGTATTGGTGACCTGGTTTAAGGTTTCCACTTCCGGGGTCATGTCGAGAAGGAGGGGGCCCTCCCACCAGGTGAGTGAGGGGGGCGGTGACCCCCCCGTGGCTCGGCAGGTAAGACGCAAGGTGTCACCCTGGGTGAAGGGTCCCACAATACTGCGAGCCTCAACACCCAGCTCAGTGTATATTGCCACACGACTCGGGGGAACTGAAACACAACACTCTCGTAATACTAATATTTTCTTCAGATAAAATGTTGCCCATTAACTACGGTCGGAAAGACGATAATTATAAAAAAATCATCTACGACCAATATAATGTATATGTGAATAAATTGTTCAGAAAATCGAGAAGTTGATAAACGAGACACTTGTGCAAGACTTGGGTGTTTTGATTCCTGAAACGTTTTCCCATGCAGTGGCTTCTTCAGTCAAATGTAGAGAAAGGCGGAAGATGAGAAGAAGTTTGAGGTGATCGGTCCCTCAGCCTGGAGTTGATATGTTCAGTCCATCAGCGTTGCATGGACTGAACATATCATATTAATGGACATTGTCCATTAATATGATGAGTTATTAAAACAGTATTAATAAATAACTACAAATTAGTGAATAACAAACTTTATCGTAAGTTGTCAGAAAAAAATGTATATTTAGGAATGTTTATTCCACGTTTATACTTTATACACTAATTTATTAGATAAACTGGTTATAGTTTGTGTAAGTGTAGAGTAACTGCACTCAGCCAGGACTGGACGCTAACCCATGAAGCAGAGTTGGTCATTATTCTCTGGAGAGGAGAATATTTATAATGATGTTTTGTAAACTATACTCGTACATCTCTGCAGTTGCAAAATATGTGACTGCAATGCAGCAGCAGCAACAAGATATGCAGCAGCAACAGCTTCTCGTGCGAAATTGAACATTTTGCAACCCATCCCAGGAAGCACTTAATCATATTCTTTATTAATCAAATTGGTTTCAGAGACATAACTGGAGAATGTCTCGTCTTTTCAAGAATAAGTCATAGTATTCGACTTTCTCAGTTATTCTCGGTTAAATCTACGTTATGTTCTGTAAGTTCCGTTATATCTGTGCCCCATCAAGATCATTGTAAAAGATAAACTTACATAAAATTACTTATTTTCTTAAATCTTAACGTTCGTCTATCTTAGAGGAAAGTTTGATGATTTTGGCCTGTGTGCGTCCATATTTGTCTTTTTTTATGGAGGAAATTACGTTCTTCACCATGAAGGCAGTAGAATCTTTCTACTTTACCTTCCTAACCTGCCAGAGGAAGGTAGGAACTTATTTACCTTCCTAACTTGCAGTGGAAGGTAGGAACTCATTTACCTTCCTAACCTGCCAGTGGAAAGAAGGAACTTATTTACCTTCCTAACCTGCCAGTGGAATGTAGGAACTCATTTACCTTCCTAACCTGCCAGTGGAAGGTAGGGACTTATTTACCTTCCTAACTTGCCAGTGGAAAGTAGGAACTTATTTACCTTCCTAACCTGCCAGTGGAAGGTAGTTACTTATTTATCTTCCTAACCTGCCAGAGGAAGGAGCGTCTTGCTAGCTGTGGACAAATATCTCAGTAGTGTTCCTGCTGCTGACATATTTCAGTAAGGAGCAGGAAGTTGTTGATTTTTTTCTCCAGGAACCTACACTCACCTTGCTGTGTCTGCCTGAGACTCAGTGACAGTGTCTGCCTGAGACTCAATGCCAGTGTCTCCCTGAGACTCAATGCCATTGTCTGCCTGAGACTCAATGCCAGTGTCTGCCTGAGACTCAATGCCAGTGTCTGCCTGAGACTCAATGCCAGTGTCTGCCTGAGACTCGATGCCATTGTCTGCCTGAGACTCAATGCCAGTGTCTGCCTGAGACTCAATGCCAGTGTCTGCCTGAGACTCAATGCCAGTGTCTGCCTGAGACTCAATGCCATTGTCTGCCTGAGACTCAATGCCATTGTCTGCCTGAGACTCAATGCCATTGTCTGCCTGAGACTCAATGCCAGTGTCTGCCTGAGACTCAATGCCAGTGTCTGCCTGAGACTCAATGCCAGTGTCTGCCTGAGACTCAATGCCAGTGTCTGCCTGAGACTCAATGCCAGTGTCTGCCTGAGACTCAATGCCAGTGTCTGCCTGAGACTCGATGCCATTGTCTGCCTGAGACTCAATGCCAGTGTCTGCCTGAGACTCATTGCCAGTGTCTGCCTGAGACTCAATGCCAGTGTCTGCCTGAGACTCAATGCCAGTGTCTGCCTGAGACTCAATGCCAGTGTCTGCCTGAGACTCAATGCCAGTGTCTGCCTGAGACTCATTGCCAGTGTCTGCTTGAGACTCAATGCCAGTGTCTGCCTGAGACTCAATGCCAGTGTCTGCCTGAGACTCAATGCCAGTGTCTGCCTGAGACTCAATGCCAGTGTCTGCCTGAGACTCAATGCCAGTGTCTGCCTGAGACTCAATGCCAGTGTCTGCCTGAGACTCATTGCCAGTGTCTGCCTGAGACTCAATGCCAGTGTCTGCCTGAGACTCAATGCCAGTGTCTGCCTGAGACTCAATGCCAGTGTCTGCCTGAGACTCATTGCCAGTGTCTGCCTGAGACTCAATGCCAGTGTCTGCGTGAGACTCTATGCCAGTGTCTGCCTGAGATTCAGTACCAGTGCCTGTCTGAGACTCAGTGCCACTTCCTGCCTGAGACTCAGTGCCACTGCCTGCCTGAGACTGCCAGTGCCTGTCTGAGAGTGCCAGTGCTTGTCGGAGAGTCAGTGCCATTGCCTGTCTGAGACTCAGTGTCTGAGAGTCAGTGTCAGTGCCTGTCTGAGAGTGCCAGTGCCTGAGAGTCAGTGCCAGTGTCTGCCTGAAACTTGTGGCAAAGTTACCACAACAGGCAGGTTGTACTCTGTCTCCTAAAACATGCATAACTTTTTAGAGATCTCCAAGTATTCAAAGTGAAAAATTTACTCAAGTTTTTCTATGCTAAAATTCTTAGTGACTTGGTCATAATAAACTTCCACGTTGTCGCTTCAGCATATTTATGAGGTCATAATTTCGCAATGAATAATAATTTTAATAAGAACTCAAGAGTAGTTGTGACGCAAATTTAACAAATATAATTCAGTTTAGGGGATTAACGAAATTGTAATTTCCCTAATTAGTAAGATTAAGCATATTCAAATATTTTGATAGTATTAGAAGGTAACTCTTGTTTATAAAATGATTATCTCACAGTACTTCGACTGTAATAATTCAGATCTAAACCACAATAACTTAGCTGGTATAGTTAACAACCATCCCACAATACTTATCCTGACAGATTGACAGATAACCCCGCAAATCACATTTAACCCACAATTTTTAAAGGAACCCTGAGAAGACGTTAATGCTCATCATGATCACGATAATAATTCAAGACGGAAAAATCATCGTGTAAAGTTTTCTCTGCCATTTATGGCTTAAGTTGACTTGTACTTTGTATCATATCCAGTGGCCAAAAGTTACTACTTTCCATAAGCCACTGAAACGTCCTACCCATCATATATATTTACAGCAAATAAAAACTAATAATATTTACAATTTTTTTTTTTTTTAGAAAATCGACTTAGCGTTTTTCTCAGTAAGACTTAGGGGCTAATTTTTTTGACTCACCAACGACACTGAGGTTGGTAGTGAAGGTGAGGGTTGGGTTGATGCGGAAGTCGACCCGACAGCGGTAGGTTCCCTGGTCGGCAGCCTCGACCCTTTGTAAGGTGAGACTCGCTGTGGTGGGGCGAAACGTGGCTCTGTGAGGCAGGTGACTGGGATTCTTCCAGTGCGAGGCTGGTCCTCTTCTCACGTCGAAACTGTAGTAGAAAATATAACAAAATATTAAAATATTAGGCATTTAGAGGGTCTGATACGAACATGCCTAAAATGGGCCAGTAGGCCTGTTGCAGTGCTCCTTCAGTCATATGTTGCTATGTTAAAACAAAACTAAAATAATTACAGTAACAAGAGTTTGTTATTGTAATTACACGATTACACGTTATTAAAGGCAAGTCGTCTATACAGTGGAATATTGTATTAGAACAGGACTCGCATAACTCACACTATATATGCTATATGACCCTAGTGGGTTTAGTGCTTCTTTTTTATTATATTAAATAAAATCAACAAAATATTTATTTCTTTGCAAAGGTTACAATGTGTATATAGATATAATATGATTGGAGCAAAGAAATCCATTATCATGCCGAGGCATTTCGGGCAATAATAATCATACTTTATATACATGGAGATATATACACACCTCACAGGTATATACACTAATAAACATACGCAGAGGCTCTAACAGACAACTGCCGTGTCCAGGAGCAGCCAAGCACAGGGGACACAGGATAGGGAAGAGACAGTAGGAAGAAATGCGTCAGTGGCAGGAACTAATTCGAATCGGAGGATGCTCAGGGAAGTGCAGTGGGAGGACGAAAGGGAGAGGGCAGTTTTTGTCTATGGGCTCCAAGAAGTAGAAGGGGAAACTTACGAAGCAGGGAAACAGGAGGAAAAACAAGATTGAAAACATCATGAAAGCAATAGGAGAGGACGACATGCCCCAGCTGACAAATTTTCGGAGAATTCGGTGATTTACGAGAGGAAAATAGCGTCCAGCCAAAGTGATTTTCAAGGCAGAGTCAGCTCGAAACCGGATCCTGCAGGAGAAAGCACATCTAAGGGACAAACGAGTACCGGAGCGTGTACCTTGACCGAGACAGAACACAAGAAGAAAGGATGATACTGAAAGAGACGATGCAACGTTGCAAAGGAGGAATGGGAGGTGAGGAAGGAGGGGAGCAGGAGGACCCAGACCCAGGTGGAAAAACAAACACAACCTCCTCCAGTACCACCCACAGAAGGAACCCAACCATGGCAAACCCAATGCAATCTAACAACCTAATCCAAAACCCACACACTGCACCCTTTGCCCCCATCCCCCTCACCACAAATGCCACCCCCACAGTAACCCACACACTGTACCCTCTGTCCCCATCCCCCTCACCACAAACCCCACTCCCACAGTAACCCACACGCTGTACCCTCTGTCCACATCCCCCTCACCACAAACCCTACCCCCACAGTAACCCACAGCAACCCACACACTGTATCCTCTATTCCCGTTCCCCCTCAAGACAACCCCCACCCCCACTGTATCCCCCATAGGGCCTCTCCCCACCCCCCCTCACTACAATCCCCACCCCCACTGAAACCCCCCATAGGCCCTCTTCCCATCCCTCACACCACAGACCCCACTTCCACAGCAACCCCCCTATTACCCCCTGCTGGGGCACCTGCTCCCCCAAACCCACCATTCTTCCCAGACCACAGTTATAGAAAAGAAGTGGAAGGTTTGGTACACAAACGCAGATGGAATGACGAATAAATGGGAGGAGCGGCATGAAAAAATCAAGATGTCCCCAGACATCATAGCAATCACAGAAACAAAACTCACTAGGACAATAACAGATGCAACCTTCCCACCCGGATATCAGATCCTGAGGAAGGATAGAAGGAGCAGAGGGGGAGGAAGGGGTTGCACTGCTCATTAAAATACGATGGGAATATCAGGAAATGGAAGGAATGGACGAGATTGGAGAAAGGGATTACATAGTAGGTACAGTTCAGTTAGGGGAACAGAAGGTAATCATTGCAGTGACATATAACCCATCACATAATTGCAGGAGGTCAAGAGAGGAATATGATGAGTGCAATAGAGCAATGGTGGACACACTAGCTGAGGTGGCAACAAGAGTTCACACAAGTGTGTGGAAAAGAAGAGTTGGTAGGAAAATCAGTAAACGAAATGATGGACTACATAAAATGCAAGGAGGCAGAGGAAAGGTTTGTTCCCAAGGGTAACAGAAATAATGGGAAGACCAAAATGAGCCCTTAGTTTACTCGAAGGTGTAGGGAGGGAAAAACTAAGTGCACTAGAGGATGGAAAAAGTACAGAAGGCAAAGGACCCAGGAAAATAGAGAGATTAGGGGAAGGCCCAGCAGCAGTACGAAAATGACATAGGATCGAAAGTCAAGTCTGGCCCGAAACTGCTTTACAGCACATCAGGAGGAAGACAACAGTCAGGGACCAGGTAATCAGGCTGAGGTAAGAAGGTGGGGAGGTCACAAGAAATGACCAAGAAGTATGTGAGGAGCTCAACATGAGATTTCACAAAGTATTTACAGTGGAGGCAGAAGGGACACTTGGAAGACAAAACAGAGGGGTACACCAACAAGGGATATACCAACAAGTGTTGGGTGAAATACACACAACCGAGGAGGTGAAGAAGCTCCAAAGTGACCTTGATACCTCAAAGGCGGTGGGACCTGATATCTCTCCATGGGTCCTTAGAGAGGGAGCAGATACAGTGTGTGTGACACTAATCACAATCTTCAACACATCCCTTGAAACTAAGCAGCTACCTGAGGTATGGAAGCTATATGCAGAGGTAGTCCCCACCTTTAAGAGAGGAAACAGAAACGAAGCACTAAATTATAGACCAGTGTCATTGATGTGTATAGTATACAGAGTCATGGAGAAGATTATCAGGGGGAGAGTGGTGGAGCACCTGGAACGGAACAACGTTATAGATGACAGCCAGCACAGATTCATGGAAGGCAAATCTTGTGTCACAAACTGGAGTTTTATGACGGTTAACTGAAGTAAGACATGAGAGGGAGGGGTGGTTGATTGCATTTCCTTGGACTGCAAGAAGGCCTTCGACACAATTCCTCACAAGAGATTAATACAGAAGCTAGAGGATCAGGCACGTATAACAGGAAGGGCACTGCAATGGATCAGAGAATACCTAACAGGGAGGCAACAGCAAGTCATGGTACATGATGAGGTATCACAGTGGGCGACTGTGACGAGCGGGATCCCACAGGGGTCAGTTCTGGGACCACTGCTATTCTTGGTACATGTGAATGACATGACTGAAGTGTCATGACTCAGAAGTGTCCCTGTTTGCAGATGATGTAAAGTTAATGAGAAGAATTAAATCAGATGCGGATCAAACAGATCTACAAAGAGACCTGGATGGGCTGGATGCGTGGTCCAGCAACTGGCTTCTAGAATTTAACCCCACCAAATGCAAAGTTATGAAGATCGGGGAAAGGCAAAGAAGACCGCAGACAGAGTATAGACTAGGTGGACAACGACTGCAAACCTCAGTCAAAGAGAAAGATCTAGGGGTGAGTATAATACCGAGCACGTCGCCAGAAGCACACATTAAACAAATAGCTGATGCGGCATATGGGCGCCTGGCAAACCTGAAAATAGCGTTCCGATACCTCAGTAAGGAATCGTTCAAGACTCTATACACTGTGTACATTAGGCCCATACTGGAGTACACAGCACCAGTTTGGAACCCACACTTGGTCAAGCACGTCAAGAAATTAGAGAAAGTGCAAAGGTTTGCAACAAGACTGGTTCCAGAGCTAAAGGGAATGTCCTACGAAGAAAAGTCAAGGGAAATCGACCTGACGACATTGGAGGACAGGAGGGTCAAGGGAGACATGATAACGACATACAAAATACTGCGTGGAATAGATAAGGTGGACTGAGACAGGATGTTCCAGAAACAAGGGGTCACAATTGGAAGTTGAAGACTTAGATGACTCAAAGGGATGTTAGGAAGTATTTCTTCAGCCACAGAGTTGTTAGGAAGTGGAATAGTCTGGCAAGTGATGTAGTGGAGGCAGGAACCATACATAGTTTTAAGACGAGGTATGATAAAGCTCATGGAGCAGGGAGAGGGAGGACTCAGTAGCAGTCAGTGAAGAGGCGGGGCCAGGAGCCGAGTCTCGACTCCTGCAACCACAATTAGGTGAGTATTCTTTTACGTATATGCACTACTGAGTGAACCGTACACTGACCGTGTGTATGATACATTCGGGTAACGCACACTCGGCAGTATAGTAACAATCTGAGTATTTTTTTGATCTGCTGAAGAGAGTCTCTGGACAGACTGAAAATATTCACCTCATGACTGTGCTGCTGAGTGTGGCTGACTCCAGTGTAATTATGAAAATAATCTACAACACCGACAAGTAAGACATGTGCAGCAGTTGGGTATCTTTTTTGCGGAAAGTTTGTTAGACGCAATAGGCTTCTTCAGTCGAATACAGAGGAGACAGTAGAAGAAGTGGAACGATGAAGATGATGTGATCTGTCCATAAACCTTAATGAAGTAGTTATTAGGTGGTCAGTCCCTCAGTCTGGAGAAAAGTTGAGCTCCATAGTCTGGAACAATGGGAAGCTGAAGTATGAGAATAGAATTTTTTATGTTGTCAAAGGTGAGGCGCGGATAATCCCAGACATGACAAGAGGCGGGACCTACGAACACGAACCTCAGACTTGAGGGGCAGTGCAGGAAGCCATGTTAGGCAGATCCCTCTCAAATCCAACTCCTCTCACTCATAACTAGCGACTAAGTAAAAAGTTTAGCCCACTGTGAGGCGAAACGTGTTGACAATTAAAATACCCAAATGTTTCGCATATATATTACTAATTTACTCGAATATATACACTAAGAAAGGCTCACCTTTAGGTACATATATGCTGTGAGATATGCACCTCTCTCTGTAAATACACTAAGAGGTATTGTCTTTTCTGTAAATACAATCTTAGTACCTTATGATTGACACAATAATACAACTGGAGTATACGTGGAGAAGGTTCCGGGGATCAACGCCCCCGCTGCCCGGTCTGTGACCAGGCCTCATGGTGGATCAGGGCCTGATTATCCAGGCTGTTACTATTGGCCGCACGTAAACCGACGTACGAACTAGATGTATTTTGGACACTGCGTGAACAGAAAAAGGTATTCCCTGTACCTCAATGCACACGACTGTAATAGTGCAAAGTGCAGCATATGTTTGTAAAGCAGTTAAATATTAATGTCGAAGATTTGAAGCGAATCATTAGAGGCATTCACTTGTCAAATGAAAATTAATATCAAGAAACTTGTAAAATTAGAACATACACAGCCCAAATCTAATTGAAACCTTCCACTAAGAAACTCCAGCTTTGAAGCTAAACTGAATTTGCATTCTCTTCATGCCTCAGAGAGACAACTGTATCAAAATACACCAGCACAGTAAAGCTTGAAACGACTCACAAATTGCATTATCAGGTTTTCAGCGTTGAAAGGTTGAAGCTAATTTGATTCAACACTCAGAAATTATTGCATTGCAAGCACAATGTAAGTTTTCCCAATTTCCTTCAGGAAAAGGCAAATTGGGACCTACACACACAAAAGTAAGCCATTCTCTGCCAGACGTACGACTTTACCTTATATGATCTGACTTAAACACAACTAGCTGGCAATAATGTAAGACCAGTAATAATAATAATAATAAGAAGAAGAAGAAGAATCTTTATTTCTCCAAGTACATATTATAGTTTATACAGATCATAGTTGACGCCACTGACATACTGTATAGATTATTATTATTATTATTATAATCAAGGGGGAAGCGCTAAACCCGGAAGATTATACAGCGCCTGGGGGGGGGATGTGGAAGGCATTCAGGCTTAATTCGGGGAACTGGAGCACAGATCCAATTCCCTAAATCAAGAGCCCCTCACTAACATCAAGGAACCTTCCTTGAGGGGACATACTGTATAGAAAGCCCCTGGTTATGCAGAGCATTTCGAGCAAATTAGGTGAATTTTGTCTCCAGGATGCGACCCACACCAGTATGCTAACACCCAGGTACCTACTTACTGCTAGATGAACAGGGACAATAGGTTTTTTAAGGAAATATGCCCAAACATTTCCATCTGTGCCTAGGATCAAACCACGGACCTCAGTGTGTGAGGTGAGTGCGCTACCAACTGAGCTATGATTGGTGGGTGTGCAGCCTGTGTAATATCTAAATGGTTAGTCAGAACATTTACCTCAAGTGTCGGGATCGTCTCTACGTCTCATATAAATGCAGATCATTTAGATAAACTTACATATTTTGTTTAAGTTTGATTATGTTAAGTTTGTTAGGCTAGGTTTCTTAAGGTAGGATTCGTTAGCTTAGGCTTGGTTTGGTTAGGATAAGTTACTTTAGGTTAGATTAAGATAGGATAAGGTGTGGTGGGTAAGACTAGGTAAGGTTGCATTGAGTTAATTTGATAAGGTTAGGTTGGTTTAGAAAAACACGTAAGCAGACATTAGGACATATTTGTTTAGAAAACGTTTCGGTCCTGGGACCTTGATCACTTCAGACATACAGAGGTTGAAAGACAGTATATATAGGCGGAGAGTGAGGTGTGAGTGACGCATGGTGACCTGAAGAATGCCATGTTGGGATGAGGACGGGTAGACGATGAGATCATGTGACTCCTGTGTTGTTGGGTAGGTGGTGCTTTGCCTGGTTGACTATTATGTATGCTCATGTTTTAGAAATTTTGTGGTTTCCCGTGTTACGTTCTATTATGTCGGTGATTTTGATTAGTGAGGCTTATAGGTACCGTCGGAGTCTAAGGTCTTGTTCGGTGAGAACGAGTTGTGCCTCATCCCAGTTCATCAAATGCCCCGTGGAGACTTTGTGGAGGACACAGGCGTTCCTTAAATCGCCTCTGTTACAGGCACTTCGATGCTCGTTCAGGCGGACAGCAAGATCTCTGCCTGTTTCGCCTATATATTTTGTGGGACAGAAATAGAATAGAACGTAACACGGGAAACCACAAAATTTCTAAAACGTTAGCATACATGATAGTCAACCAGGCAAAGCAGCGCCTACCCAGCAACACAGGAGTCACATGATCTCATCGTCTACCCGTCCTCATCCCAACATGGCATTCTTCAGGTCACCATGCGTCACTCACACCTCACTCTGTATGTTAGAAGTGATCAAGGTCCCAGGACCTAGTGTTTGCTTACGTCTTTTTCTAAACCAACTTGTCGGTATTTATTACTAAGGTTAGGTTACATAACCATACAATAAAATAAATATTTTAATAAGTGAATTAAGAAATGCGGGAGCTGAGCAGCGTTAGTGTTGATGAATATCATTGGTGGCACGAGGAAGACTTCGAAAGTGACACCGACCTGTACAAAGGTTTGTGGATACCATCCTTGTACCAGAGGACAAGGAGGGCAGGGTCGGCGGGCAGGGGAGACGTCATATTGCAGGGTAAGTTGGCTGAACCGCCCACTGCCGCCCACACCTCCTGGGTTGGACCTGACACAAAAGAAATTAGTGATTACGATTCAACTAAATGGTAGAGGTGTAGTTACCACACAGCTTAAAGTATATTTATCAGTTGAAATAAGAGCATATTGATTAGCGCAACATTCACATCTCACTACTAAACAGGAAATGGAAATTAAACGACGTTCCAATTTCTCCTGGATTATCAGTCCATTTTTCAAGTAATTTCTTAATTATGGTCCAGGATAAACCAAACCATGGTTTACTTTCCATTACAAATATATGCGTTAGCTGTAAATCGATGCAGAAATGGTACATTGACTCACGAAATCGTAATGACACGATTGCAAACAAACCATACCACGGGTGGGATTTGAACCCGCGGTCAGTCTCAAAACTCCAGACCGTCGCGTTAGCCACTGGGCCAGCGACGGTCTGGAGTTTAGAGACTGACCGCGGGTTCAAATCCCACCAGTGGTATGGTTTATGGTATATTAACTTCAATTGAACGTCTTTTGTAATTTAACATAACATGTTTAAAAACTGGCCCAGGAACTGAGCATTAACTCCTGCCTCTATTATCAATTGAACATTTGTCTCTGTCATCAGTAGCTGAACATGTGCCTCTATTACCATCAACTAGCCACCTGCCTACGCCATTTCAACTAAAACCTGTGTTCGTTTATCATACATCAACAGAACACTTGTGCTATCAATCATATCATCAACAGAACATTGTGTATCTTTCATTCATCAACTGAACACTTGCTGCTATCATCATATCATCAACAGAACACTTGCTGCTATCATCATATCAACAGAACACTTGCTGCTATCATATCAACAGAACACTTGCTGCTATCATATCAACAGAACACTTGCTGCTATCATCATATCATCAACAGAACACCTGCTGCTATCATCATATCATCAACAAAATACTTGCTGCTATTATCATATCAACAGCGGAACACTTACTAATATCATCAACAAACGAACTGCTTCTATGTACCCCGAATCGAAAGTCTTCTTCTACTTATAATAATAAAATCTTTATTTCTACAAGTACATGTACAAGGTATACTGGCATAGCTGATATCAATGACATAATACTATATAAAAAGCCCCTTATTATGCAGAACATTTCGGGCATATTAGGTCAATTTTGTTCCAGGATGCGACCCACACCAGTCAACTAACACCCAGGTACCCATTATTATTGATGGGTGAACATGGACGACCGGTGTAGGGAAACACGCCCAATGATTCCACCCCTTCGCCGGGAATCGAACCATGACCCTTACCGTGTGAAGCGAGAGCTTTTGCCACCAGGCACTCTTAGTAATACGATGTTTGTTCGTCCCTATCTTTCCTGCCATATCAGTGTTAGCACACAGTATGTCTCTGAGAGGTTAGCAACGTATGAGATTCCAATTCTGAATCAATGCCAATGTTCCCGGAGAATTCTAGTATTATTTGAATGTTCAAGAAGTCTCTTCCAAACAAAATTTTCCAGAAATATCTATATTACACTTTTCAGGGACATGGGTCAATATTGTAAGGCTTCTTGCCTATAAATATTGGTATTACCTGTGCTATCTTGTAGTTTCGGTAATTTGTGTCTCTCTAGTTAGTTGCTAAGATCATTGCGAATGGCTTGCCTATTGTTTTGGCTCCTTTTCTTAATATTCTTGGTTATATTCCAGGTGGTTCTGTTGTCTTTGCTGTATCAAGTTTCATAAGGAGTCCTCTTACCTTTCACTGGTCATTTCATTGCTTAACAGCTCTGTATGCCTTATCTCTTCCATCTCTGAAAATAGATCGCGGTCGTCTGTAAAAACACTGACTTTTTTCTGTTAAGCTAATTGCAGACCTCCTCTCGTTTTCTGTTAGTGTGCCTCTCACTTTCCTTAAAATTATTACTTAATATTTTATTCTTAATTTTTCAACTGTAGCTGTGAAGCAGCTTTGGTTGTGTTGCCTTGGCTTTCATGTCCCTTTTCGTATTTTTTCCAGTTATCCTTCCTTCTTGGATATGTCCCTAGACGATTCAACCATGGGTTTTCCCATTCTCTCTCTCTCCCTTATTTATGTTTGCACTACTATTTATTTATATTTTATTTATCTGATTATCTATTTTATTTATTTATCTTTGCACTACTAGCCGAAAATAGGTTATTTCCTGGTTGAACTGTCCTCTGCATTCCCCTCCCTAATGTACATGAGGCAGAAACTGTCTCGTCTCATGTACAACAGTCATGTCGATTCTTTGACTTTTTTCTCTTTTGAATTAAACAAAAAATGGACTACGAATCAAACTTGATACGTATAAGAACCACGGTCCGAGTTTCCGTTAGTTCTGTTTATTCAGTGACAGTCGTTTAATACCTTTTTTTTTTTTTTTTGAAAGAGAGAGGGAACTAATATTTTTCTGATGTACCATGTATTTCCTGAATTTACGAGAGTCCTAGTAACTGTGACCCAAACTGCTAGGCTCAGAGGGATCATGCATAGTGCCATCTGTGGGGAAGGTCTATAATTGCCGGTTTCTCCTGCAGTTTCTGATACGGGTTTTGTCGACGCTTCCTGGTAGCAGTACTTTTCCCTGGTGTTTGGCTAGAGTGAGGTACACCACTTTACCCTCACAGTGAACTTTTTCTTCTTTCGGGTTTGTTGTTCTCAGATGTGGTTAACAGTCGCCTTCAACGATGTTCACATTTTTGTTCGTTACCATAAGGCACCTTCTGTCCCTGTTCACCCATCAGTAAAATGAGTACCTGGGTGTTAGTAGACTAGTGTTGGTGGCATCCTGAGACAAAATTAACCTAATTCGCCCTAAATGTTCTGCATAAGAAGCAGCTGTCTGTGTAGTGGTACGTCGTTGATGTCAGCTAGGCCTGTATACCTTGTACATGTACAAAATCAAAATAGTATTATTATTATTATTATTATTATCCGGTAACCTGTGTGTTTCTTTTTCAACTTTAGCTGTGGTCTGGTCAGCCGCAGAAGACGCTGCGTGTATGGAGCATATAAGAGATGTACCGACCCATTAAGGACTCAGTCTGGACGGTGGAAGGCAGACAGCAGCCACATACACTCATCCATTCTTGAAAACTCAAAATTACTTACGTGACTGTGCTGGTAAGTAATCTTTTAAGCAACCAGCCATCCTATGTCTTTACCATCGAGAACTCCCTATCCTACGTTCGCCTCGGTAAGTACAGAACTTATACTTTCTTCTCGGAAAGTCCAGCCTATCATGTGTATGTCTTTCTCTTGGTTGTATTTTGTTTATATATTAAATGTCTTTAATTTTCCATTTTCTTTATCGTGTAATTATATTTGTTTATACGCCTTTTATCTTTTTTTTTTTTCAAAATAGTAATTTTCCCAACAGGGAACCCGGTTCCATGACAAGGGACCTTGACAGAGCATTTACTACAGCTCCTCGTCCTTACAGAGCATCGTGCAAACATAGGTCATCAGCAGATATCAAAAAAAGGTGAGTTTGATATTTGTTATAATTCCTTGTTGTTTAGTGAGGCTACTTGTGGTAATCAAATAAGGATTACTACTGTTATGTTGGGTTCTGAGTTGGATTTAAGGGTTTTCCCTTATTACTATATGTTGTGTGAGCGTGTGTTGTTTAAAGCTTTGTTTAGTTTATTATGAAGGTCGTCGAACCCACAATATGATCATCCAGAGTAGAAAAGGTGTATGATGGGGAATAGTAGATTAGGTGAGAGGTGGACGTGTGGTTGTTCTTGTAGTGGCACAGCGGTGGACGTGTGGTTGTTCTTGTAGTGAAACAGCGGTGGACGTGTGGTTCTTGTAGTGAAACAGCGGTGGACGTGTGGTTGTTCTTGTAGTGACACAGCGGTGGACGTGTGGTTGTTCTTGTAGTGAAACAGCGGTGGACGTGTGGTTGTTCTTGTAGTGACACAGCGGTGGACGTGTGGTTGTTCTTGTAGTGAAACAGCGGTGGACGTGTGGTTGTTCTTGTAGTGGCACAGCCGTGGACGTGTGGTTGTTCTTGTAGTGACACAGCGGTGGACGTGTGGTTGTTCTTGTAGTGAAACAGCGGTGGACGTTGTGGTTGTTCTTGTAGTGGCACAGCGTGGACGTGTGGTTGTTCTTGTAGTGGCACAGCGGTGGACGTGTGGTTGTTCTTGTAGTGACACAGCGGTGGACGTGTGGTTGTTCTTGTAGTGGCACAGCGGTGGACGTGTGGTTGTTCTTGTAGTGGCACAGCGGTGGACGTGTGGTTGTTCTTGTAGTGGCAACAGCGGTGGAGTGTGGTTGTTCTTGTAGTGGCACAGCGGTGGACGTGTGGTTGTTCTTGTAGTGAAACAGCGGTGGACGTGTGGTTGTTCTTGTAGTGAAACAGCGGTGGACGTGTGGTTGTTCTTGTAGTGACACAGCGGTGGACGTGTGGTTGTTCTTGTAGTGAAACAGCGGTGGACGTGTGGTTGTTCTTGTAGTGACACAGCGGTGGACGTGTGGTTGTTCTTGTAGTGAAACAGCGGTGGACGTGTGGTTGTTTTGTAGTGGCACAGCGGTGGACGTTGTGGTTGTTCTTGTAGTGGCACAGCGGTGGACGTGTGGTTGTTCTTGTAGTGACACAGCGGTGGAGTGTGGTTGTTCTTGTAGTGGCACAGCGGTGGACGTGTGGTTGTTCTTGTAGTGGCACAGCGGTGGACGTGTGGTTGTTCTTGTAGTGGCACAGCGGTGGACGTGTGGTTGTTCTTGTTAGTGGCACAGCGGTGGACGTGTGGTTGTTCTTGTAGTGACACAGCGGTGGGACGTGTGGTTGTTCTTGTAGTGAAACAGCGGTGGACGTGTGGTTGTTCTTGTAGTGACACAGCGATGGACGTGTGGTTGTTCTTGTAGTGAAATAGCGGTGGACGTGTGGTTGTTCTTGTAGTGACACAGCGGTGGACGTTGTGGTTGTTCTTGTAGTGAAACAGCGGTGGACGTGTGGTTGTTCTTGTAGTGGCACAGCGGTGGACGTGTGGTTGTTCTTGTAG